GTCTTCGAGAAGCGTTTGAAACGTCCGGTACAAACCTTGCCTATATCTTACGCAGGGCCAGAGGACCCCGCGCTGAATGAATGCCGTGAAGCCCGCTGGGCATACGAGGGAGCGTTGCGCTGGGACCTGGCTGCTGACGGGCATTACCCCACACCGTTATCAGACGTGTGCAGCGCCTTCGCCCGGCTGTACAGAAGGAGAAAACCAACCTCTTATTCCTTCAAGCACAGCGACACCCGCAGCACCGCACGTGGTCGCAAGCGACTACACGCTGTTCCTGTAGAGTGCGACCTAAAGCAACGTAAGAGTTCGGAAGGATGACGACACGTACCGAAAAGCAACGTCAGCAATGCTTCTACACTCTGACCACAGCACGATACAGCTTTCGTCGTACTGAAGAAACCTGCCAAAATACTAAGATCATCACAAGCATCGAGTGCCCCATTGGAACAAAGGACCACTGGGTCGGTAATGCCCTGGCAATCCACCGGAGCACAAGCGAGACTTGCTACCACTGCTCCGAACGCATCTTCTGACTCCAAAGCGATCCGACTGGTTTGTTGGTTTATTGAAACCAAGCGATATTGAGACATTCCCACGTCGGTCCTCCGCCTCCCGCTCTCTCGGTGTAACGCATGTTATGTGCTCAAGCGAGGAGTGCCGGAGGAATATGGAGAGTAGTTCTGGGGAACAGTTTTCACATGTCATAAGCCCTTGAGACACACGAAAACATACCAAGTCTGGAGGACAAACGCGTATCGCATGCGCATGAGAACCTGAATGGCGTCGTGATTGATGTCTGCGACAAGATGTAACGGCACGCCAAAACGCCGAACTGGTCGCCGAACTGTGGCAGGATGGCTCACCGCTCCGGTTCCATTGTGGCACTGGCTTGCTACACAGCATCGCATGGATGGTCGCACTGCCAGTCTGCACTGCAAGGTACGTTGCTTTGAATTCATTACCGGCACTATGGTTCCGACAGGTTACGATCCCTCGAACACCTCATCTCATGCCATACAATGATACCAACCCCGTGGTCTCCTCTCACGTCTTTCTCATGTCAATGAATGGATATACCATGCGAGATGACTGGTACAAGGTAACGACTTCATTGGTTGATGTCCATCGGTTATACACAATCAGAACAGGGGATCGCTCTCTTTGATCGGGACCAGTTTACCCTTGCCTTTGAACACCTCCACAACATGGGCCTGCTCGCTCAGCATAAACCTCGACGTCTGGTTTCCCACACCAGCCAGCCCCCTCCATCTCTCCAGATCCTCCTTCTTCCTCTTGTCGCCCAACGCCTCTTTCGCCCGCTTCCAGTGGCCCTCCGAGAACGCGATCAACGTCGTCATCTTCTTCTCCTTGATATCGTAGACGGCAGAAACGATGCTGCCTGTCTCTTCGAGCCAGTTGATCTGCCATAGTTCACCGGGGCGGATACATTGGTATGTTGCACGCTGGTAGTTGATGCGGCCAGCCATTGGACCACCGTGGATGGCGTATACGACACGTTCCGAAGAGAAACACCATAGTTCGTATCGCCACTTTTCGGGATTGCCGTCGCTGTCTTGCGCATCGTAATCGTAGATTAGATGTGTGTCGAGAACGTCTTTGTCGAAGCTGGGGTCGAGCTTGGTGTTCGTGAGAAAATCGGGGAGGTTATCGCCTGGTGCCATGGTCTCTGAAAGCTTTTTCTTGGGTATTGAGGGAGGTAAGGATACCAAGCATCATGATGGATTTCAGTTGGATATGGTTGATGCTCGGCACTACCGGATCGATGACGTAGGTGCAGTTTGAAGAGCTAGATCTCGCGCGATGCAACGCTACTAGGAAGTCGGCATCTAGATTCGCCTTTGCGATCGGTCCGAATGGAAAAGAAATATGGTCGAGTGCACCCGATGCAGTACGTATTCTGAGTACACCTACCTACCATCGTATCGTTTCGTAGAAGGAAGACCCGAACGCCATCACCCAGCCATGGATCGGATGTTCGCCACAAAAAGCCAAATTACTCTGGCGCCGTACGGCTGAGACGACTGGAGTGGGACCATGGAGCAAGGCCATTCAGGATGAATACTGTACCATCATCGCTGCCCCCGCGTCCACCTCCGCGTCCACCTTCGCGTCCCCCTCAGCGTCCCCCTCAGCGTCCCCCTCAGCGTCCAAATCCGTGTCCAGTTCAGCGCCCAATGTCGACATACTGGCTCGAGCGACATCCGACGACATGGATATACTCGTTCAAAGAAAGGCATTCGTAGTCACAAAGCTTCGCACAATCATGGCTGTTCTCGAGCACGAGCCGGACGGCCTGATACCGAACGTCCTCTTCACGAGATTGACGAGACCTTGGTCGGCTACGAGGACCGCCAATATAAAGGAGCCTAAATGGAGAGATTTCAGCAGCTCAAAGGGTCTACTCATACAGATCGACGAAGACGGAGTCGAGGTGCGACCTTCTCTCATCCGCTCAGACAGACCGATTACTATCAACCCTGCCGTCAGTTATGCGTGCTGCCCTGACGCAAGAGCACTATTTGGGACAGACGTACATGTCCACGACAATACCGACGATATTAGAGAGACCTTCGATATTGTGCTGTCTTGTTCGCGATCCAGCGGATCCCGATCCAAGGAAGATTCCGCATGCCAGGACGCAGAGACGGAAGCGCACGCTCACGTGGATGCGCTATACAACACATGGAACCGTATCTGCAATCGTCTGGCTACGCCCCACACCAGACTCGCGCATCCTGATAACGTGTGGGAAATGGAAATCGCATCGCCAATATACCTACCGTATTTTATTGGGACACGACTCCTCCATGGAAACCGTCTTCGGTCAGCTAAGCCAAACCTCTTATTACCGCGAGTCGATCAAGCAGGCTATCCTACACTACCAAAAGCTAGCAGGGTGCCCAATCCATGTGCTCTTCATTTTCCCAGGTTGTGACGGACTCACGACCTCCAACAGGTCGTGGGGGCAGATGGCGGGACAGTTTCCTCTTGTACAGTTCAGCCTGACGAGTATGAATTACGATACGTTCGCAGACAAATACCCTTGTTTGTATACGAAGAGGGAAACATATTCATTCGCGCACCTTAAAGTGGACGATCTCGCTGCGGAGTGGGCTATAAGGGAAACCAGCAACGACCCTACACTACGGGTTTTGCAGCGACCGAAAGAGCACCGATTTCTTTGGTGGTTATCCGTACTCCATCACCACGAGTCTACTCATCATTGGCCTTCACCGCAGCAGCTTGAGAAGCCCGACGAGGTAAAGCGTCTGACCATTCCGCGACATACCCTGCCCGACGAGATGAACAACACCCAGAGCGAGCCAAAAGCGTGCGAAAGCTGTGGGGGGGAGACTGAGCGTTGCTGGACTAGAGGGGCTGAATCGCACACTATACGATGTGACAGGTGTTGAGTGAGGGACAGGAAGTGATGTTCGCACAAGACGTGTCCGCCTTAGTAAGAGGCTCTGGTTAGTGATCAGTCCACAGAAATCTGGCTTACGATATCAGATCAGAATTTTGGTCTCGGCATGTGACGGATGAAGGTAGGAGGATCTCGCAGGGGTTATCGGTCGACAATATAAAGGTCGACGGGTTTACAGAAATGGACAACCAACACATCCATCACCCTCGACGCTTCAATCAACTGCCTGACGATTGATCATTTCTATATACACCTTCTACTCCTCAACTTCCCAATCACCCAAAACCAGCCTTCCGAGATGTCAACTCCCTCTCTTCGCTCGGTCATCGGAGTCCCCAACTCAACAGCATCGGTCAAGGACTCTGTTCTCGTCATCATCGACGCTCAAGACGAATACATCTATGGTAGCCTACCCGCTCAAGACTACAAGGAGGTCAACGTCGCCATCTCCAGCCTCCTCGAAAAATACCGGAAGCAGAACGGCCACATCGTCCACGTCCTGCACAACACGGGCGACGACGAAGCAGCTATCTTCAAGCCTAATGGCAAGCTCACCAAGGAAATGGACGGTATCGAGGCTATCGACGGCGAGCCTGTCGTGTGGAAGAAGCACGCCGGGTCTTTCTCAAAGACAGATCTAGCCAAAGTTGTTAAGAAGACTGGGCTTAAGAAGCTTGTTCTCACGGGATACATGGTACATGGTTGTGTGTCGAGTACCGCTCGCGAAGCGACTACTTTGGGATACGAGGCTCTTGTTGTGGAAGACGGTGTTGGTCAGCGCGATATGAAGGATATTCCGGCTGCGCAGGTGAAGAAGGTTGCGTTGACGGAGATTGATGATATGTTTGGGACGGTTGTGAAGGCTTCCGAGATTAAATAGATGTATGAGATCTAGTATAGTTGATACTCCCCATGCTGATCAGCGAAGCTTCCTGTACGAATCGACAATTACATGATTATCTCAAATGCACCGGAACCGTGTAATCACCACATGTGTACGTCGCGCATCGAATGCCGAGGCCTCATTCTCTGATAGGCGTGCCGACGTTTGAACCTTCGCTGGCCCGTTTGCGGTGGCCGAGCACGAAACTTTCTTCTGTTATAGGCGTGCCGATACTTGAGCCTCCGCTGGGCCGCTTGCGGTGGCCGAGTACGAAACCTTCTTCCGCGTCGAACATCAGCTTTGTCTTCGCAGCTTGACCTCTCAGTGGTTGTGCCGCCCGTGTCTTGGAATCCTCGAACACCTCCTTGACCTGGCTTGCTGTGAGCTACTGATCGGGTATATGTTTTCCATTCACACTCACATCAAAGCCTTGCATTGCTGTGCCAAAAGTAGACATTCGATTATCATAGCATGCACCGTTCTTCCACATCGCAAACAGTCCAAAGGCAATGGCGATGGTACTACCAAGAATGGCCAGTCCGTACGATAGTAGCAGGTTTTGTGGATTATAGGCATAGACGACCGCAGAGGTGAATGTGGTGACATTGACAGGGACTTTAGTACTTTATTTCACAACGTTAGCCTTCGATCACATGATGAGATTGTAGCTTACCAAAGCGAAGCATCGTTGATCATGCTCAAAGACACGTTCAGCGCAAATGCTTCGATATCCTCACGGAACGAGATGTCCCGGACGCTGGACGGATTTTGGAGAGTGTTGACAGCCTCAATTGCCTCGTTCATGTTGCGAGTCATGTTGTAAAACTGCGAACCTGTAGAGAGGGATGTCGTATCAAGCGGACCAGCCGAATCCAGCTTAGTACGGGAGTTATCTCTGCGCCAGGCGACATACCCAAGCAAATAGCTTGCTAGGCCTATAGTATATCCGGAGTAGGCGGGAGAGCCGGAGGCTCGCCCAAGTTCGTTGATGGGGATGGCGCTCTGCGGATCAAACTTGTTGAGCAACTCCCAATGGACGTTTCCAATGCTGACTATACTGTTGCGGGTATTGACGGTGTAGGATACGGTAGCGTTCCACACTTCGCACAACAAATAATCGGTATCAGACTGATACGCTACATCAGTTGGACGTTTCTGGATAGCAAAAGCAAACTCATTGGCGGTTTGCTTAGTATTGTTCCAGTTCAGACCTGATGTAGATTCTCCTAGAGTATTTGGATATGAGAGTCCGAGGTATCCAATCTCTCCGCCGGAAGGAATGTCAGAGTTCATCCACTTTAGACTATCGGTGGTCAAGTTGTTCGCTGCAGCGACTCTTGTCTCACTGGCAAACCGCAGTATGTCGTTGTGAACGGTGCTGTTTGCTGTCGTGCATTTTAGTACCGGCAAATAGGCTTCTGTCTCGTAAGACGTGTTTGGATGCGAATAAGGTGTTTCGAATGGAAGACGGCCACCGGAATATATGACTGCGCTGACGATTCGTCCAAGCCGAGCTGAAGGACCCGTAATCCAAGGACGATTCGCAGATTGCCTGAGTATGAACGCGTCTGACATGTTGAGATTGTTAACGTCCGCTCTTAGCGCTTGTTCTATAGAGTGTGATTGCGTTGTTCTTGTCTCGACTGATAATGTTGGGGGAGCGAACAATGTTGGTAATGGTAGACACCTACACACCGTCAGTAATAAGCACCCAACGGTGCGTCTATCACTTACCATAGTATGAGTGCAACCATGAGCCCTACGTGCAGCTTCCGGATGACTTCAAGGTTGAAGAAAGCGGATAAGTTTCTCGAAATATCGAAAGAGTCGTCGATAGATCTCAAGCTTATCGATCGCTTCCGGAGACGCATCCATACATACTGCGTGTATGCGATGCCGACGGCGATCTTGAGACCCAGAGCGATGCTGATTGCGAAAGCGTTACCGAATCTTACAAGTGTCAGTCATGAACGTGGGCGTATGTCTTGGTACATACCGTAATGACCACTGCTGTCGCCCTGTCGAGCCTATCACATCTCCATCCAGCGTAGTGTAATATCGATGATGTCCTACTGCGAGAGCAATGCCGAAGAAATAAGAAGCCAACATGTTTGTCGGGGTGAGCCAATGGGATTTTGCAAGTGTTCGGAAGTTAGTGTTTTGCCCAGAATCAGCCGTCAGTGATTGCAGAGCAGATGCAGCGTCGCCATCGCCTGCATGAGGTATTAGCGGTATGTCCGTTTGGGACATTGCGCTATCGTGTCGGCGATGAGCCATTGCGATCTGTGGTGTTAGAGCTCAGACCAGGATTAATAGTATAGATGCACTGAGCTGGTAGCGTAGACAAGAGCGAAGCGACGAAAAGATGGAACTTGCGCGACAGATTCCAAGGTAACAGGTACTTCTTGTGGTGCATCCCTCTTGTGCTCAGCCCCGCCATCTAGCCAAAGCCTATAAGTCCTCGATAGCTCTTTGGGGCGATGTTTATGCAGTATTGCGGCGTCGCTAGGCTGTGAAACGTCAAATGATTGGCCGAGCCTACTTTGCAAGGCTCCATGTGACGAGTTCTACATGGTTCTAATCTATGTGTTTACCCCACTCACACATCCTTCTCTGCATGAATGACAACCTGCTCGGTCGATCTTCGCCCAGATACCCCTCTCAGAATAGGGCTGTCGTCTAGCGGAGCTACACCAGCTCGCTTTGCCTCCGCTTCTGTGAAGGTACCATATAGATCGATAGGATCGATCTGGTCCATATCAGGAACTGGGAAGATCTTGTTGAGGACGTAGAAGATAAAAGCGCTGATGAAGAATCCTGTTAGGGTGTCAGTGGCTCTTCGATTTCCAAGGTCGTGAGACGATTTCCTCACCTATGAAGAAGGCCATATTGTAGAGCTGTACCAAAGCCCGTGGTGGGTCGGCATCTCCTCTTACTGTCACTATAAGACCCCCAATCGTCGGGATCCATCCACATAGCCATGAGGGTATCGCCCGCCAGTTGAAACCTTTGGTGAACCAATACGACGAGTTTTCAGTTCGATATAAATGACTCAAGCGGATCCTTCTCTTTCGCAAGAGGAAGTAGTCGCATGCCATTATGCCGATGATTGGTGCTAGAAAGACCGAGAAGGAAGACAGCACGGCGATAAATGTAGTGGCACGGTTGATGAGTTGCCAGGGTTGAACGACCCATGCCGCCACAAATGTAATGATGGCACCACGTCGTATGTTGATGTAACGTGGAAACAGGCCAGCAAGGTCGATTCCACCGGAGACAGCGTTTCCGCAAATGTTCTCGAACATTGCGGTAAATGCGAAACCTGCAGCCAGGAAGAATACCCCCGCACGTGCCTTCGATGAGCCATTACCGTTGTCCATCATGCGCATGAGTAGATCCGGTGGGTTCCAATAGATTTCTCCGTACAACTTTTGTCCTGACGCAGTTGTAACAAGACCAACTAGAGAGACGATGACGCTGGTGATCACACAGCTAGTGATAGTACCGACCATATAGGGTGTTCTTCCACGTGAATAGCGTGAGAAGTCGCTGCCGTTTGTGATACCCGCAGCAATGCCACCAAGACTCTGATTGATACCAGCCATGATGAGCCACGAGGTACCCCAAGCGGAACCCGATGGAATGTTTTCGCCAGCATTCCAAAGAGGCCCTACACCTTTAGCAGTCGTCACTGCCCAGATCATCCATGCCAACATTCCGATGCCGCACCAGAGGCAGACTATGAGGAACGGGATCTTGAACTTTTCCGGTCGCAGCCACAAGAAAGGTGTCGATATGAACCAGAACACGACGAATCCCACAAACTGGTCGGTGGTAGCAGGGAAGTTGGGGCTAAAAGTATTCGGCATACGGGCATACGAAGGCCAGATCGCGGTCAAGCATACAGCGACTAGACGGCCACCATTCCAGCCTGGTTCAGATTAGCATCATAGCATCATGCTCATCTTCATAGTACTCCAACTTACATTGAACGGCGTTCCAGATGAAGTTGAGCAGGATTCTCTGCGACAAAGGTATGAAGCTCCCGCGCATTCCCCAACTATACCTGTTCTGTACTGTGAAGCCAATGTGCCACTTCAATCCAACCCAAGCAATAAGTGTGGAGAAGAAAGCGATCAACAAGCAGCTCACAACGATGATAAGGATAGACTGTGAGACAGATAAACCCATAGCTTCGGTGATATCAGCGATCGAAAGCGACGAGATTCATATGGTATAGCTTACTCAAGAAGGTACTTGGTGTTTGCCAATTCGCGAGGTTCAGCGATGAAATCGCCCAAAACCCGAAGAAATTGAACCAGCCCCATGTCCTACGCTCCGGCGGGAGAGGAATTAGATCGCGGTTGCTCCATGCATCTGTTTGCTCATGCTTCGCATCGTCTCCACGGAGACGTACTTTCTCATCGATATTCCTCAAGCGTTGTCTCAAAGTCATGATGAACGCGAATCAAGGGACGCGTCGCTAGTCAAGGAGGTTGGGAGGGAAGTAATTGCGACGAACGCCAGTGGTGAGCTCTTTCCGCCATCTTAGTGTTGCTACCCTTGTTATCAACTGCGCTCGGAGTCACCCCAATCTAGCTGATCTAACGCCGACCCAAGTTTAGTAAAGATGATAATGCGCCGACGGGGGCGACGGTGCAGCACACGCGGGAAGAACACCTTATCCGTTAGAAAGAGGGGTATTTACGCCTATCTTATCTGATCATCCGAGCGCAACGATCAGCGCCGAAGAAATCCCATCTCGAGTTCCGCTGCTACCAATGGTCGAGCTGTTGATTACGGGGTAAAGAGTTGGAGTAGGAAGTAACTCCAAAAGTGGGGTATGGGTGAGCGATAAAGTAGGAAGGCGGCTTCGGGCGCGAACGGCCGATTCCCGGACCTAGGTCGCCCCACCAACCGAAATCTTATCAGATGGATTCTGGATTCATTGTTACCAGCCAACTCCAATTCGATCAGAAGAGGCTTTCATCTTGGAAGTATCCACGGCTACGATGGCGACAGGAAAGAATCTGCGAATAGGCGTCGATGTCGGTGGGCACGTACTTTACATCAGAATTTGAGAGGCATGGAACTAATACCGCGCATAGAACCAACACTGACGGAGTCATCATTGATCCTATAAGATCGGGTGAAGATGACCGGGGAATTGTTGCTTGGTACGAGTCCGATACCCATACGTTGAACACCACGCTTCCTCGCTTATCCCACTCCCTCATAAGACCCAAAGAGCACCCATGATGATCCTACCGAAAGTCAATCAGCCCCTGGCGCGAACGCGAGCTCATACCATAATCCAGGCACAAGGCACCTACCACTACCGACCCAAGCCATGGCATCGCCGACGCCATCACCACTATGTTCAAATCCGCCTCGGTCGATCCTTCTTCTGTCGCAAGTGTGACAATTGGAACGACCCACTTTGTCAATGCGGTCGTAACTCGTGACCGAACACGTCTCTCGCAAGTCGCAGTCCTTCGTCTTTCTAGTTCATTCAGCAAACATGCACCGCCATGTGTCGACTGGCCAGCTTCTCTGCGTAATATTATCCTTGGGCACCATGCGCTCATCAAGGGAGGGCTGGAAGTGGATGGAAGCCTGATTTCCGACATCAAAGAGCACGAGATAGTAGAGCAGTGCAAAATTATCAAAGAGAAGGGAATCAAGAGTATAGTCGTGAACGGCGTCTTCAGCCCCATCGATACGGTGGAGAAACAAGAAGAGCGTACTGCAGACATTGTTCGACGTGAGCTAGGAGATGGGGTCGATATCGTTCTTAGCAAGACGGTCGCAAACCTAGGATTTCTAGAGCGCGAGAACGCTGCGATACTCAACGCCTCGATTCTGTCATTCGCCAGGAAGACGATAGCATCATTCCAGACACCAATCAAGGCACTTGGACTGAACTGCCCTGTTTTCATCACCCAAAATGACGGCACGATACTGAGCGGCGAAGCCGCAAGCCGACTACCGATCCGAACCTTCTCATCTGGCCCAACGAACAGTATGCGTGGTGCTGCTTTCCTTGTCGGGAGGCAGGAGAATGGCGAAGCAATGATGGTTGTGGATGTGGGTGGAACGACCACCGACGTGGGCTTGTTGCTCGCAAACGGCTTTCCCAGGCAACAGGCGGCGTACTCGGAGCTTTCTGGTGTGAGGATGAACTTCTCGTATCCCGATGTGAAGAGTATAGGACTAGGAGGCGGAAGCTTGGTAAGAAGAGTGGGAGAGAAGATGCAAGTGGGGCCTGAGTCCGTGGGTTATAAGCTACCAGAAAAGGCGCTCGTCTTCGGTGGTGATGTTCCGACAGCGACTGACTACACCGTCGCGGCTTCATCCGAGGTTGCGATTGGTCAGCCGGAAAAAGTGCGAGGGAAGCTGCAAGACGATGACATCGAAGCCTTCAAAGCTGAGACGACAAAGATGCTTGAAACGATTATTGACAAGATGAAGACATCACCTGATGATCTTCCCGTACTGCTTGTCGGTGGTGGTGCGGTCATAGCCCCAGACGAGTTGAAGGGAGCAAGCAGAGTAATCAAACCTCAATGGTCCGGTGTAGCTAACGCTATTGGTGCTGCGATGGCGCGAGTGAGTGCCGTAGTCGACACGGTCAAGTCTACCGAGAAGCAGACGCAGAAAGAACTACTAGCTGAAATATGCGAGGAGGCCAAACGAAAGACTATCGAAGCAGGCGCATCAGCAGAGACGGTCTCTATCGTCGAAGTGGAGGATCTACCATTACAATACGTGGCCCACAAAACACGATTTATGGTCAGAGCTGCGGGAGACTTCGACTTCTCACGAGCTGGAGATTTCATAGATCTGAACGTTACTCAGGAGGAAGGTAACGTAGAGACTGGGTCAAAGGGTACGAGCGATGCCATCGCAGCACCTTCGACCGAAGAGGCGTCTAGCGAAGTTGACGCAGCACCGGAAGTTGACATCGCTGCATACATGCCCAAAGTGGCAAACCGAGAGTGGTGGATCTCTGAGACCGATCTGGACTGGATCACCATCGGCTGCTACATTCTTGGTACTGGCGGCGGAGGCTCTCCCTACTCTACCATGCTCAGAGTGCGTGGAATCCTACGGTCTGGCGGGAAAGTTCGCGTCGTCAGTCCAGACGATCTCAAAGACGATGCGCGAGTGGGAAGTGGTGGTGGTGCTGGCAGCCCAACAGTGGGCATCGAGAAGCTGTCCGCTGACGAGTAAGTCATGTATTGGTGCCACACCATGTCTTTGCTAACCTTTGCTCAGAATGATGGATGCTCAAAACCACCTCTACGATCTCATCAAGGGTGGCTATGCGACGCATATCATCCCTCTCGAGATTGGCGGCTCGAACGGCTTGCAGGGTCTCGTCTTGGGTGCATCAACTAACATGAATGTGCCATGTGTAGACGGTGACTGGATGGGCCGAGCATATCCAACAAAGTGGCAAACAACGCCAGTCGTCTTCGGTGAGCGAGAAATTGTTTTCGCGCCTGTCGCAGTGGCCGATGGTAACGGCAACACGCTATATATGCCAACTGCAACGAGTGACCTTAAAGTCGAACAGGTCATCAGAGCAGCATTGAGCCAAATGGGCAGCTCCGTCGGAACAGCTGATGCTCCGGTTACAGGCGCTGAAACAAGACGTTGGGCTGTTGAACACACAATCTCGCTATCGTGGAGGATAGGACGTGAAGTAGCACGCGCGCGCAAAGAGAACAGAATTGACAACGTCGCGCAATCAATCATCGATGCGGTTGGAGGTTCTGAAACAGGCCGTGCGCTTTTCAAGGGCAAGATTGTTGGTGTAGAGCGCAAGCTGTACATGGGCCATGTGTACGGCGAGGTGATCATAGAAGCCACGGGAAGCGAGTACCAAGGCAAGATCAAGATACCGTTTAAGAACGAGAACATTGCTGCGATACGGATACCGGAAAGTGGAGAGAGCACGACAGGGGAGGAAAAGAATGAAGATGTCCTGGCTATCGTTCCCGATCTTATCGCGGTCATTGATGCGCAAAATGGCGAGGCTATCGGAACGCCAGAGTATCGGTACGGACTACTAGTCTCGGTGATCGGTATCACTGCGAGCGAGCGCTGGACTAGTCGGAAGGGTATTGAGATTGGTGGCCCGAAGGCATTTGGGCTGGATCATCTGGAGTACAAACCTTTGGGCAAGTTTGTGAAGCCTGTTAGCGTCATCGACGAATATGACAGAAAGGCATGAGCGCCAGGCCCGGGACTTGGCTGAACTGGTTGAGTAGGTATGCGATGTTTTAGATGTCTTTGCGTCTAGAATTACTCAGCCTGCTTTGTGCCAGGATATAACGGCAGGATGATCTTCACAGCAGCCTCGTAGCTTGTGAATAGAATACCTCCACTAAACACTGTGCGGCCCAACCTCATCGTCGTGCCTTTCCAGAAACCTTTAATTCCATAATCCAACAGAACACTCTTTACAGCCTCGGCAGTACTCGTCCCTTTCGCACTCTGTGAACGCGTCTTGATAACGTCAAAAGGTTGCGTTGAAAGCGTTGTCACAACGCCTGCTACCGATCCGTTTGCGAAGTTAACCAACGTATTCTGTTCGATGTTCTTGGTCTTCTCATAATCTTTGAGGATATTGTAGGTCCCCATTCTGAACGCCGTTGCTGATGCTTGTTTCAAGGTGGTGCCTGCGAACCCGCGGTATAGACCGAGGATACCGTGTTCCTTCCAAATAGTGGTGGTAGCGTGGAAACCGGACCGAAAGCGCTTTTCGTTCCTGGCATCGTCGATGAGTGCCGTCTTGATGCGCTCTGTGGGCGTAACTGCGGTGATCGACGCGACTACTCCCGCAGTCATGCCGGCCAACAGATTGCGCAGAGGGGAGAGCGTGCCCGTCTCTGGATCTGCAAAAGACGACTTGATCTGGTCGAAGAAGAGAAAGCGGACGGCGTCTTTGCCTACTGAGCCAAAGACCAGCGCTCCGCAGCCTTTGTATAGCGCTCTAATGCCTTCATTCTGATAGACTTGGGTCACGACTAGGAAGGGATTTCGCGGCGTCGGCACGCCCTTCTCAGCTCTTAATTGCACACGCGTCTTCGCAAACTCTAGAGGATACTGCGAGTGGTATGAGTAATCACGGGATCTAGCCGGAATGCCTCTTTAGACGTACCGAAAGAAAGCCTTCCACACCGCCAGCTATGCCGCCGGCGGCCAGAGAGACTACCGCAGGTGTGTTCTTGTCCTTTAAATTGTTAAACTTGATCTTTAGACATTGCGCGTGAGCTTACATCGCCGCCTGAAACCATTTGCGTCTAGGAAAATAGGGATAAAGATGATGTTGTGATGAAAAGTGACCTCGGGATGGTCGACAGAAAAGATGCAGATATAGCCGAAGCGGTTCCATTCCGGGTGTCCTCAGCGGCATCGACCATGGAACACGAAAGCGACGCGCCGAACCGAATGATATCACGGCCATGGTAGAGGCTATCTCATACTCTATTTGCATTCTTGCGCACTTCCCGCGCATATCCAGGCTCCTGAGGTAGTTGAAACTGTATCGTGTGGCGCATGACGTCAGCGGGTCTTCTTAGGGCTCCTGGACGGAAGCCCGTGGACCCGACCTTTTGAAGGCACGCGATACCGGAAATTACTGGACTCCAGAAGCACAAATCCATTTAACACTGATATTTCATTGATTGCGAAGTCGATTCGCCTATTGTGACTATGCTGCCGCATCATCCAACTCGAACAAACTGTCAAACCGGTTATCCCTCGCTGCAGCATAAGCCGCCATCTTCTCGTCGCCACTATTGTCGTCGCTTTCATCCTGCGCTCTGCTGCTCAGCTTCCCCATTTTCTTCAAAGCATCGTCCACATTCCAAGCGATTCGTTCAGCGCCTACTCTTGCGCCAACCAAATTCGGTGCGCCAGGGCCAAGTCTCAATCCGGCAAGTCGTCCTGTCACGAACAGAGGAACGTCATCGTCCCACATCAAGTCCTCACTCAAGCATGGCAGACCGCCAACGTACTTGATAGGATACTGTTGTTGGATGTTTTGGAGGTAGGGTATGGTGCGAATGTCTGACTGAATACCAGTGGCAAAGATCATGTAGTCGACAGGCGGCAGTTTGGGCGTCGACTCTGTGGAAGCGGCTTCGCATGCCCACGTTTTTGAGCTTTCGTCCCACGATACAGACTGAAGCTGAGTATAGGTGTGAAGCTCGATCTTTCCATGTGCGACATGCGTGTCGAGAATTTTCCGGTACCGCGGCGTCATACTTCCTCCGTTACGGGCTTGCACTATCATCTCAAATCGCTCTATCACCGATTGTTAGCTGCGATCACCGAGTCGGAGCGTTTACATACCTTCATCAGTATCTGCCGTCCAGAACTCAGCTTGCTTGAAGTTCCGAAACTTGCCCACCCACTCTAGGTCCACGTCAAAGTGCTTGACCTTGAGCGGACCGCGCATGAGCATCCATATTTTGTTCACGCCTCGCTTGATTGCTAGGTCTGCCAGCTGAATGCTTGTCAAGCCGCCACCAACTATGAGCATGCTGGTCGACTGACGAGCCTTGACTTTGGCCATTACATGAGGTGGTGGAAACTGCTTAATCTGCATCGCATGCGCAAAACCTTCGTGTGGACGCTGAGCTGGTAGACCTGGGACAGGAGGTATCGAGGGCGCATTTCCAGGACCGACAGCCAAAACGACGAGGTGGGCGAAACGCACGCCTTGGTCTGTGGAGACGCGGAAGACTTTTCTCTCGTCCGCCATCACATCATCTGAGACGACACTGTCAAGGTCCGCTTCATCGAACTTCGAGATGTTGTCGTATTCGATGTTCACGACGCTCTCTTTCCTCAACAAATCCTTGCCAAGCCGATATCTCTTGATGACCTCTTCACAGTGAGCGTCGAACAAATCGGTACGTGGTACAAAGTAGTCCTTTCGGTCCCTTTCATCGACGTCTGGCGTGCGGCTCAAAAACCTTCCTTGCGACTTCAGGTTCTTCTTCTTTTTGTGCTTGCTCACTTCCTTCCCGGCAACTCCAGGTAGTGCTAGGATGTCTTTGTCTCTTTCTTTCTCGTACGTATACCCGAGCAGCGCATCTCGGTCAGCCGGATCAACGTGGAAGAACATCGGACTTCGTAGGTAGTCAATGTGGAAAGTCTTGAAGAGGCGCTTCCACTTTGACATCCAGTCTGCTCCATCGGCATCGAGTACTAGCATATCTATTGCTTCTTCGGGTGCTTCCTCATGGTCGCAGCCACAATCTGAGTTCCCGGGTGTTGACGGTGGCGTTGGCAGTGAGTCCTTGTTCGTCCGGTAGTTTTTGATGTTCATTTTCCGGCCATGTTTACGTATCCAGTGGTAACGTTGATGTTCATCATCTGTGAAGGTTGCCGAGGGTGTCTGTTCACGGAGCCGTGCTGCTACCGCTAGGCCAGCCGGGCCTCCACCGATGATGAGTACGTCGTGGATGTGCATCGTGTTACAGTCTGGGAACAAAGGCTTGTGAGTTGACTGAGGAGTGTACGTATTATGAAACGTCGAAGGACTTCGAGTGTCTTGTGCCCATGTGAGTACCTGATGGCTAGCGTTCCAAATCGGGTGCATCCATCATGGTGCTAAAGGCACTCGATGACGAGAACACGACTCCACGTACAAGACGGACCGATGCCAGAGGCTCATATCAAGTTGAGCACATGTTCAATCACAGCTTGTCTGAAAAGCAGCAACTACGCGCACGTATGAGTGCAAGTGTGGCCTATTGTGTTGATAAGAACTCATGTATTCATTCATACGGCATGGAAAATCTCCTGATCCTTATGGCCCTCCGTCGTTGCGGACGTTCGCCAACTGGCAGGATTACTCACACTTGACACGCGTAGCGACCTCGCGTCCTCCATTTCGATCGCGCTGGTGATGAATTGTGGATCCTGATCCTCTCTTTGCTTCCCAAGACCACCATTCATGTCTTCTTGGCTCTCCGTCCGCCTGAAGATATCCCGAAAGCCTCTAGGTATCGGTTCTGCTCTAGGTTCCGGCCAATAGGCGCGGGTATGTGTATTTGCAGATTGTTGTGGTCGTGTGACGGTGTTGCGCCCGTATGTGTCCTCCGCAGTATATGTGTTGGAGCTCCAGTTTCTCAGACCGAGAACCCGTTGTATAAGCGGATAGGTCAAGGGCAGATTCGCGCAGAGTATCGCTGTATACGACTCTCGAAGGTACCAGATCGTCCACTCTGTTCCAAAGGGATTTGTGAACGAGTAGTATTTGTTGAGGACCGCTGCGACGATGGTGAACGCTCCTATACAGAAGATCACGAAAAGGATCGTTTTGTTCTTCTTCGGTAGGCGTACTTTGAAGAGCAACGGCATGGGTATGCTTATGATGATCAGATCACTGGAAATATTGAAGACGGCGTTTGTGATGAGATGATTGGTCGCTGCCGAGCATTGTTCTGGTATCGTCAGTATCGTGGGATTCAATGTTGCAGAGGCACTTACTCGAATTCGGCGGTACTGCCCAGTATTGCGAGAACGGCCGACACCAAACCCCAAGGTACAATATTTCCATGACCACAAATGCGACAGCGACATATATGGATGTGGCGATGACGATCTTGTGTTGCGGGAGGACCATCGTCATACGGTTGTACATAATGAGCAGGCATGCCTTGACCAGCCATATGGTAAGGAGTTGCATCTGCTCTACTACCAAGACCAGCTTGGATCCGTATATACGCATCTTGATTTCGGCATCTGAATATTGAGAGACGTCGTCTCCCGGCGGTATTAGGTTGCCTAAATACCGGTACAGAGTCAGCGTGTGTCTTTCTTGCAGTTTGCACATGGAAAGACGTACTGCTAGTCTTTGTGACTTCGTGCATGATAGCAATCAGCACTGTGTCGGTAGCCTTGTGTCACCAATCAGTATTTGTAGTCGCTCGATGCTGCGGGTCACAAACCATGGCTACAAGTATTAAGTAATCATCTAATTGCAATAATTTCCATGATCCACGATGTATTCTTCGTGATATGAGTCGAATGATGACGACGATCCAGCACACGGCATAGAAAATTCCAGCCTCAGGCTCAAGAACTCCGGCCATGGATAACTGGTTGGCTCGCGAGCCGAGGTTGTGGGAACGTTCAAAGGCCGGGCCAGTAGACGACGAGTAGTCTAAGAGTTGGTTGCTCAGGGCTTTAGTGGGTGTTGATCAAAAGTTGTCGTAAATATTAGGGGAAACCTATCGATGCGATAGGGACCACGGTGCGTTGGGGAACAGAGTAGGTCGATGAAGAACTGCCGAGCGCCCGGTCAGCAGCCTTGTTGTGACCACAGGCGCTATGTTGTGAAGACCGGGTGTGAACTCAGCAATCACTCGGCATTTCTCTGTGATGTCGGCGGCTTTCCGTCACAAAATGCTTCATTGACAATTTGATAGGTGCTCTGGGATGTTGCTTGGTTGGACTGTTCCGGGGTGGCGCTGTGGGTGGATGCTCTGGGGGGTCGCGCAGTGTTTCAATGGAAGTATTCGGATTGAGGAGACAGCGCTCAGAAATCGCGGACCCCCGGACCCCAAGATATCAGACTAGGCATCTAAAAGTGTCGCAAGCGCCACTTTCAATGGAGCTGTGCGTCCTCGATGATCTGCACAATCGACTAAAGACGGACGTCCCTGGTCCAGCTTCGACACTTGTGGGACTCGCGGTAGCGCCAATTGGATGACGAGTTTGACGACTCAGACCTGGGTTGAGGCTGCCCAGGTGTCAGAGAGGCGCGTCCAATTCGAAGGCCGCGGCAATATGGCGATGTTGGCTGCTGACCGGAAACATTTCGCGACGATTCGTGGTACGGTTCAAGAAGATATGTCACAGCAAATCAAATGCGTCCAATGCGCAATGGGTTTGCCGGCGCTGCTTCGGTGATTTCATACCTGGTAGTGTTGCAAACTGCGACTTCAGGCGAGCAATATCGTAGGTATGCTATACAGCTGTTGCCAGTGTCACTGGAATGCTGACTCGCAATAAATATCGGTAACATCGCAGCGCAAATTGAAGGCGTTGAGGAAAGTTTGGCGGTGCCCGTCAGCTTGCGTGAGTGACATCGGGTGTCCCGGCACGCTTAGTTTGACGCCTTTGGCGGGCCGTAGCCGCAAGTTGTACTGGTCCCGAGGTCAACACTCGCATAATTTTCGTCCTTGCTTCAGGCGTTCAATCCAAGGAGAAAGGAAAATCGCGCAGTGACGAGAAACTTTCAGGAGCCTTGTCGCTGATACAGATAGCCTTGGAAAGAGACTGTGCTGTCATGGGTATGCATAGGTAGTGTGGCGGCATCGGCGCCTCACAGGTACGAGGGCGAAGGGAAGTCGCAGCGTTGCACCGAGTACCCCAAACCTGGGTATTTTTCGAACACAGACATGATTGACTTCGGCATGTCCACAATTGGTAGAATCTTACGTCCATTGTTGGTTGTGCAAATCGCAATCTCAGCGTTTGGAAGACAGCGAAAACTGACCAGAGGCTTTGCAGAAGTTCAATCGCCAAACAGTCAGGGTATTGAATGCAAGTTTCGGAAACTGTCGAAAACATTGAAACACCTGCGCGATATAGACCAGGAAGACCCGACACCACGACCTTGGAAACAGCGACTTAGAAGACTCAGCCTTCGAGAAGAAAGCTCAGACTCAGTTTCAGTCGGCATTGAGCGATGGCTACTGTCAGATTCGGCAAAGCAGCACCAGGGGTGACAGTCTGTCGGCGATGCGCGAACTGCACGTGAATGTGTCGTATCGCCACACCCGCGGAGTGCCGAGTCAGCGGTTTCGCGTTTGCCAATGAAGAGGGACTTGAATGATCAACCCTATGCCCGACCCACCTCATGTAATCCTTACGAAACCGGGGCAGAGTCGATATAATACATGAGGTTGACTCAACATGTTCGGTGACTCTTGTGTCTGGCACGAGTGCCGTTGCGCCAGATGTGCCAGCTGTGGGGAGGCCATTTCTTGTACTTTGAGAGATGCTCATGGTCAGCCATGACGGACAAAGATGTAGGATAGCTTTAGATACCGATGTAAAGGTCAAGATATGGGATCGTTGGACCGAAATCCCACGTGGTGACATTGCCTAGGAGCTACACGCCGGCGTCTGACAGAAAGCTGCACTGATCTCGCATAATCGACCCGGGCCCTTCTGAGTGCACATCTGGGCAGTCTGGCCTGCCGCGTTGAATATCTGGGTATGAAGAACAACTTTAGGCGAAGAAGACCACTAGAAAGACTTCAATGTTAGTGGTGAGTTCCAGTTGCCATTCTGGCACAGACGCGACTACTCGTATAAGTACAGGCAGTTGCGTGGTGGTCATGGCCCCGTTCGACATGAAGGAGAGGATCTGCCCGGAAAAAGCGTTTGGTCGATCTCCGTCACGCAGTTTCAAGCGAACAGCGGATGTATGTTTAATCACAATGTTTTTGGGGGTAAACGTTACCCATGGGATCGACGAACAGGGATAGCAAGGGGCATCAGCCCATGCTGTGCTAGTCACCAAGGTAACTACTCAACGCAAGCAAGCCACTGCGTGAATGTATCGGTCTTTCTGATATTCCAGTAGCGCTTGCTTATACATTACGCGCTCCTCATAACGTAGCTACGGTCAGCAGCTTCTGGGCGTCTCGCCGTCTCTCATCACATGACATCTACGGTGAGCTTATCGCTCCTGCCACGCCACGTGGAATCTGACAGGCAAATCTATTCTACGAAAGCCTATGCCATTTGAAGCATGTCCAGCCGTATCGCAGCGTTGAGGTATCCCAGGACACGGTACCTAGATATGCAGTCCCCGGTCGCAGATATCGGGCGGAATATTTCCGAACAACCTTGGAAACCTTGGAACCTTGGAAGCAGCAAAGGTGCCTTATCCATCGCGAACACTAATCCCTTCATGTAAGCGGTCACCCATTTCCATACCTCTGTGTACGTCCTACAACATCACTGCACGGATCGCACAACACGAGAAAGATGGCGGTCGGAGGATACGGCTGCCCAACCTCTTGACAAGCCACCTTCTTGTCGTGGGTGTCGTGGGTGTCGTGTGCCCTGGCGTGTCGCAGCCCGCGATCTCCTCCACACCTCTCCCTCTAAGTTAGTCTAGCCGAACCGCCGAACCACGCAACTGATAAAGAGCAGAGAGATAGGCGTCCGCGCAGCGAATGACGAACGCCTACCACCCCTACTAAGAGATTATGACGCCGCTTCCAAACACCGTTGCAGCATGGCTTCGCGTGTACTCTCCCTCTTGGAGTAGTGACACCCCGCTTGCAACCCTGCTGCGCGGTGATATGCAGACTGGGGTGTGGGTGTATATAGACAAGTTGTTGCGCTTCTGTGCGTTGCTACATTCTTGGAGTAAGAACTCGTGTCGCGACTTCTTCTTATTGTTCGATTGCGACTGCGACGGCGCGCGCATGCATTTCGCGTTGCGACAATGACGACTTCCCAGCACCGGAACCACTCCGTCGCGGAAGAACCGGTGACATCTGTTCTTCCAGATGGCGACATACCTTACGATCCCACGCATTCTCTCAATCCGGATGAAGAAGTTCTAGCGGCTCTTGGATACAAATCGGAGTTCAAGAGAGAGTTTTCGCTATTCACCACGTTCTGTGTCAGTTTTGCGGTTCTGGGTCTACTGCCTAGTTTCGCGTCTACGCTTTACTATGGCATGGGCTATGCGGGAACCGCCGGAATGACTTGGGGCTGGATCGTGGCCATGGTCGGTATTCAATGTGTGGCTATGAGCATGGCAGAGCTGTGTAGTAGCATGCCTACGAGCGGAGGTCTATACTATGCTTCTGCTGTCTTAGCACCACCCGGCTGGGGACCTTTTGCTGCGTGGCTTACCGGCTGGAGTAACTGGCTGGCCCAGATCACGGCGGCACCGTCCGGCAAGTACAAACCGCTATCTCGTTCGCGACGGGTATGGACATAGAGTTGACTGTTTGAGTAGTCAATTATGGAATTGCGGCCATGATACTGGCGGCGGCTAGTATCAATGACCCGTCTTACGTCCCCACGGATTATCAGACTTTCCTGTTGACGGTCTTCATCATGATTCTTCATGCGATCCTTTCCTCTATGCCGACACGTTGGCTTGCACAGTTCAACTCCGCCGGTTCCACGTTCAACTTCATTGCGTTGATTGTGGTCATCATAATGATCCCAGCTGGTACAGACCGTACAGAGCGCGGTCTACCCCGTTTTGCCCCATCGAGCGAGGTCTGGGGCACAATCTATGAAGGCACATCCTTCCCAGCTGGTATATCAGTCCTGATGTCCTTTATCGGCGTCATCTGGACCATGTCAGGCTACGACTCACCATTCCATCTTGCGGAAGAATGCTCCAACGCTAACCTGGCTTCTCCGCGCGCCATTGTTCTGACATCCGCTACTGGGGGCTTCTTTGGCTGGTTCCTTCAGCTTGTCGTGGCATATACTGTCGTTGATATCGACCTAGTCCTCGAGTCTGAGCTTGGGCAGCCCTTCGCTGCCTACCTGATGCAATGCATGTCGCAGAAGATGACGCTGGCCATCCTTGCGCTCACTATTATTGCCGGCTTCAGCATGGGTCAAGGATGTATGATTGCGGCAAGCAGAGTAACATTCGCGTACGCGCGTGATGACTGCTTCCCGTTATCCAAGTACTGGAAGAGGGTCAACAAGCACACGCAGACACCTGCAAATGCCGTGTGGTTCAATTGCGCAATCGGCATACTGTGCCTGCTGCTCATATTTGGTGGAGAGTTGGCCGTTGGGGCGCTCTTCTCGATCGGTGCCATCGCAGCTTTTGTGTAAGTGCTGGTGAGCATGGTGTGGGCGCTCTACTGACATCTGATAGCGCCTTTACCATACCCATTGCCATCCGTGTCTTCTTCGTAGGCAACCGCTTTAGGCCGGGTCCTTGGAACTTGGGCAAGTACTCCAGCGCTATTGGTAGCGTTGCATGCATCTTTGTCTTGCTCATGATACCTATCTTGTGCTTCCCCAGCGTAACCGGACCGGACTTGACGTAAGTCTCACCAACACTTCCACGCTACTTTGACAGGACTAATGTATCAATAGCGTAGCAGACATGAACTGGACATGTGTCGTTTACGGTGGTCCGATGTTCTTAGTGACGATTTGGTGGTTTGTTTCCGCACACAAGTGGTTCAAGGGCCCCAAGGTGAACATCGAGCACATGATGCTTGGACGGGAAGAAGCCGTTCTGATTGGACAGGGGTCAGTGGGCGATGGTAAAGATGGTGATAACTCGTTGGGTGATATGAAAGGTCCGGAGGAGATCACAAAGTCTTAAATCAAGGTTGACCCTGTTGTGCGAAAACTCGCATGAACAGTGTCACAGGACATGGTAGATTACTGAGTTCTCTCGGGCCTACTGTTCGAATGGGAAATCATGCCAATTAGTCCGAATGTGTTCATGACAGTGATGCACTGGCTGGAATACGGTCCTCACGGACATACCTCGTCACACAAGTGAGCCTGATTCTCCTGGCGGATTGACTAAGGCTACACCTTGGTTCATTCGTGTCGCATAATAAGCTTTGCGGGACCACATATGCGTATGAGCGTGGTGTCGCGAATTTTTGGGTGGGTCAGGTGCTTGTCACTGGCCCCGCGCTTCGGCTGCAACACGGCATGTGGCAGGGCACAGGGCACATGAGCGAACTTACGTCACCTTTGATCGGCAAACTGTAGACATGCTTGAAGCGACTTCATTGCAAATTGTCAGCTGAGCTGTTGTGACATGCCGCACCACATCTAGTTATATTTTTATTTGAACGAGTTTTTGCCATCAACCAACTACTCAACCATCTGGTTGACCAATCTTCAGTAGTATAGTGGTCAGTATTTCCGCTTGTCACCTTCACAGGCAACGCGCGGGAGACCGGGGTTCAATTCCCCGCTGGAGAGCTCTCATTTTTTGTTTTTGCATGTTGGTTGAAGACCCCAGCCGTGTGATTCCACCAGCAGGATGTCCACTAGTTCGATGTGGGGAATGCCGTGCGTCTTTTGAAGAATCTGTACCTTTTTTTAAGCCACGTCACGAAGTCTACACTACTGTTGGTCTATCGTGAGTGTCATGTCGTACTTCGTGCAAGTCCTTGCCAAGGGCGCGGCTCGCGCCTGCGGTGCCTCCGCCGATGGGACCCTCGCAGCTACCTCCACCCCCAGCATACTCCCCGGACCGTCCGGAATACACCAAGACATCACGATATTCAGAACATCTCCCAAGGCTAAAAATATAGACGTCTTCTCACTATTATACTCGAATGCGCAGGTACGACGCGTACCGCGACGCTGTAAAACGGATAGCATGCGTATGTCGACCAAGACAACCAAGGCGCACCACTTCCTCGGAATCCCTTCAGCCTCCAAATAAAGATGAGGCTCTTTTTAGAAGCCTCAATCTGTTTCAGATCTACAATATACTTCATCGTAATGACGCTGACGCCAACTAAGCCAAGACTGACGAGAGGCCAAGGTATCTCCCCGAGCAGCAGAAACATGTAATGCGATGAACTCGTCAGCTTCAAACCGTACCGTGGAATTGCAGCAAAATACATCTCTCTATTTACATCATCCCTTCGACAATCTCCGTTTAGAATTCGCGTATGTGAGAAGTCCCAGCAAGTCCGTGAGCGGGATGTGTAACCACACTCCGCAAATACCATATCTGACCGCAAAGTCCGACCACAGCGCGTTCGATACGTAAGCCTCTGTCATGCACCAACTTGTCACCAAAATCCGCTAGTAGTATGTTTTAGCTAGAAAGATCAGTGCCAGAACCTCTGTGCTCAAGACAAGCACAGCGAAGCTCTTGGAACCGGACACGCCAACGCCGCCAACCCAGGCTGGCCATCAACCTGACACCCATTGACTACGAATACACAGCCGCATAATCCGGCGACGTTGGCATCCCAAGAGAATACCGCCGTAGCATTCGTCACCTCGTGTAGCTTGTCATCTCGACCATGTCTTGGAAGGACCTCTCCCAAGTCCCTTTTCTACCCCCTTCTTAGTCTTCTTATTCACACATACATAGCTGGCACCCAGTAGCAACAAGATGTTCGGACATCCAAGCTACGCGCCCATCTCCACCCCTTCGCCATCCCCTTCCACCCGTTCCAAAGCCATGTACGCACCTCCACGATTCTTGACCGGCAAGTTCTTCATCTGGCTCTGTCTTTTCCTCATCGGCTTCCCCATCCTCCTCTGGAACCACCCCAACTTGGAGAACCTCTCCGTTCCGTATGCCCGTCCACAACCGCGACCAATCCCCCAATTCGCTGCCCACGGCGACTCCAAATGCTTACCAGAAGTCTCGGCCGAGCTCATCGAGGCAGCGACTGCGAAACGCGCTACATGTCGGAAGTACTCACCTTTTGCAACGGGGCGGGCGCGCATCGCGACTGTGACAGCGCATTTCGGCAAGCCCCAGGAACACTACCAGAAAGCGTTCAAGACGCATCTCCAACATGCGCTGGTGCATGGTACGGAGGTCAGGGTGATGTGCGATCCGATTGTGGCTGATCTGTGGAACAAACCCGCTTTCATCCTCAACCTACTCATGCGGGAGATGTTGAAGCCAGAGAAGGAGCGGTTGGAATGGATACAATGGGTTGATCGGGACACCATCATTCTCGATCAATGCCGTCCGATATCGAGTTTCCTGCCACCAGAGAAAGCGCGCTTCGGGTCCTGGTGGCGCCGTGACGACAACGAAACAACGTCAGCACCAGCGAATACAACAAACCTCCTCGTAACGCGCGACTGGAACGGTCTCAACAACGGCATCTTCCTCCTCCGCGTCAACGCCTGGGCCATCGAACTCTTCACCGCTATCCTCGCATTCCGCCACTACAAACCCGAGATCGACCTTCCCTTCACCGAGCAATCTGCCATGGAAGAGGTTCTGAAAACAGAGCAATTCAGAGACCAAGCGAGATACGTGCCGCAACATTGGTTCAACGGGTATGAAGAGGAAGGCACGCAGAAGTTTCTGGAGAGGGAGGATGTGGAGGGGTTGAAGGAACGGGATGTTAGGAGGGGGGATTACCTTGTTCATTTTGCGGGGAGGGGGAACAGGGGCACTTTGCTGATGGCGTGGAGTGGTATGTTGGAGGGAGCGGGGGATGTTTGGGAGGAGGGGAGGGTGCAAAGAGATGTTTCGGGTGAGGTCGCGGAGTTTTGGAGGGATCTTGGGTATGGGGTATGATGGCGTATTTGGTCAGCTAGCTCTATTGTCCGTTCAGAGATCGTCTTATTCCAATTGTATTATATACCCTTCCAATTCAATAGTAGCTTGAGCTTGGTGCATAGTCTGCTTTTGTGCCTGGAAATGCGCCAGCAGGAGGGTTGCGGTCGTCCTCGTCTGCGCTGTCGTCTTCGTTCCCTTCGAAAGCTTCGCTTGGATCTGGTGGTGCCCGCATGCGGATCAAAGCATCCTCGTCGAGCGCTGGGACAATGAACATCTTGGTGGTGTGATACTCGCGTCCTGAAGGCATGCTTGCTAGCAATGGCTCTGAGGGAGGTACTATTTGAATGCCAACCTGGTATAGTCAGTTAATCATGCCCAATGAACCAGCGAAGGCGGGTATACATACAGTGTCGTTCTGCTTCTCCCATTTCTTCAACAACATGTCGACAATCCGTCCTTCTTCGAACTTGCCAGCATCAGTGCCCCAATCTACACCTTTCTCGATCTTACGGTCTTCCCTCTTCTCCTGCCACTCCTTCTTCAGTTTGGAGAAACCAGATGACTTCTTCTCTTCTTCCGCACCCAGCGATGCAAAACCCAGCTCTTTCTTTGCGCCTCGAAGCCACGCAATGCCGTCGCCTGTTTTACCGCCCCCTTCAGCATCGCAGGCGAGGAACCGACAAGCCTTGCCTTTGGCGGTCCTCCTCAGATCATCCACGTATTTCAGCAAATCGTCGTTGATCTTGGAAGACCGCCCCAACATAGCCTGGGCTTTCGCAGCGTGTTCTGAAGAAGCAAGGCACAGTCGAGCGAAGAGATGCGCGCGGACCTTGGGTATATCGACGCCCCTGAACATCCAGTCTTTGTTCTGCTTGTTCCGGTCTTCTATCACGACCGCTGGGTATGGATCGTCTTTGAGGACGGTGATGAGTGTAGCTTCAGCCATAGTGAGCTCCGCCAACGCTCCGAGCACAGCCGCGGATATGTCTATAGCCGCGGGCTGCGAGTTGTACTGCCCTGCCCGGTTCACCAAGTATGTGTGTATGGAGTTTGCTTCGAGAAAATGCTTCATAGCCGCACCGATTGCGGTTGCGCGTTGTTCGGGCGTGGGTACGGTCGCATTGTAGAGGGTATGTAGCTGTGCTCGAGCCTGGAGGCTGTATACGTATGCCAGTGTTGATAGAGTATAGCAAAGCTCGCTCTCAAGGCTCTTGAGCTTCACTCTTGCTGGCTCGCGACCTGGTATCGAAGACCCCAGCGTCGAGCGCCATTCTACTTCTAGCTCCTTGACCAAGACCAGGTCGATCTCTTCGCCGGCACAGCTTGCACCACTCAGTCCTGCATCGAGAGCGAACAGGTATGGTATGTAATCGTTGAGGGCGGATGTTACGGTGGAGAGGTTCGAGGCCTGTGAGGCAGGTGGTATGCGCTTGTGTCGCTTGAGCACGTCTCGAAGGACGCCTCGCGCAGTGGTCGCGCAGTTCGGTAGGGACGGATGGGTGCTGCTATTGAAGTAGTCGGTGAAGGATATACTGGAGGTAGTTGGTAGGACGAAGGGGAAGGGCATCTTGCTGGGTGTCGACTGTTGCTGGTCGGAGCGGTCGCTGACGCAGGTACGCGGTGGTAGCGGGGTTGGGGAGCTAGCCTTGGCCTCATCATATCAAGAGCCTGGGGAGCCACAAAGAGTCGGGAACACACGCCTGGAACAGAAGACCTAGAAATTTGAGGTTTCACGTCAGTGGGAAAAGAAAACATGCGAACTGTACCACTGCAATTGTAAACTGGTTCCAATAATTCGTGCTACATCAGTCTCTCCTCGGACATGTATATGTACAGTTTCGCCAGTACGAGAAGGTTGGTATGTTTCTTCAGCATACGCTTGCCGAACGCCATAAGCCATTGTATTCGTCTGGTAGTGTCTCCCGCTGCGTGTCGTGTATGTTCTGCCCGTTGTCCGTCCTTCATGCAAGCGATCACCGCTGTTGGCGGGCTGCTTATCGCTTCAACGCATCGTCGACGTAGTTTTGTTGGGCAAAGAGGTATCCCTTAACCTTTGCGTCCTTGAGAAGCTCGAAGTAACGCTCTGTTCAGCCTGT